CTACCTCTCATTCCATCCTGATGATCCGACGATAGCTGCTCGCATCTCAGCTTGTCTAACAGACATTTCTTGCTGGATGAAGAACCATCATCTTCAACTCAACCTTGCCAAGACAGAACTGCTTGTGATTCCATCAATTTCACCATCCAGTTAGGCACATCAACCATAACTCCTTCAAAAATTGCCAGAAACCTTGGAGTTATGATTGATGATCAGCTGACTTTCTCAGAACACATTGCTAAAACTGCCCGGTCCTGCAGTTTTGCTTTATTCAACATCAAGAAGATCAGGTCCTTTCTTTCAGAACATGCTTCACAACTCCTTGTTCAAGCTCTTGTTCTGTCCAGGCTGGACTATTGCAATGCTCTCTTGGCAAGTCTTCCAGCCAGTTCTATCAAACCTTTACAATTAATCTAGAACGCGGCAGCAAAATAAATTTTTAATGAGCCGAAAAGAATGCACGTCACACCTGTTTATCAGTTTGCACTGGCTACCAATAGCTGCTCACATAAAATTCAAGGCATTGATGTTTGCCTACAAAACCACCACTAGTTCTGCACCCCTTTACCTAAATTTATTAATTCAGAGTTATGTCCCCTCTAGAAGCTTGCGTTCTGCAAGTGAACGGCACTTTATTGTGCCATCCCAAAGAGGCACAAAATCACTTTCTCTGACTTTTAAATTAAATGTTCCCTCCTGGTGGAATGACCTGCCAAACTCAGTCCGAGCATCTTCAAGAATCTGCTAAAAACACATCTCTTCCATCTTTATTTGACCCTCTAAGTCTAGCACTCTCTATTCTAATTCTATTCTTTATAAAAAAAAATATAATAAAAACCTTTTAGACTTGCACACTATTTATTTATTAATGTGTACTAAGGAATAAATTAAAATTTTAAGTATATCAAATGGAAAACATTTATTCATTTATTGATTGATTGATTAAATAAATAAAGCCTTGGTGAGAATAAAATACTTCTTTCAAAAGCATTGCAAAATCCGAATTATCCTAACTTTAGAGAGCTATTGTATGTGTGTGTATGTGTGTGTATGTGTGTGTGTGTGTGTGTGCGTGCGCATATATAATATTATATATTTAATTAAGCAGAATTTATATAGTTTTATTTCAATGTTTGTCATTTATTGTTTTTCTCTATTATTATTTTTCTTTATTTTATTACCTCTATCCATGTTTTAAAAAGTAAAAAATAGCAAAAGTATAAAAGAATGCAGAAATAATCGTTTTTATTTTCTTTTCTCTTCTTTTTTTAATAATAACAATTGATATTTAAGAGGAATATGAGCAAGTGTGTCAGTTTGTCTGACATACTGTGTGTGTTGTCATATTTGCTGATAAGTTCATTATTTGTGATTGTTTGTGCATATGTATGCCACTTTTTGTACACATATTAGAACATATGGGGAAGACAGTTTGCACCTCTGATCTCCTTTTCCATACAAGAAAATTAAACACAAATCCAAAATGTAATAAGTGCCAACTTGGTAAACAATATTTTTATGATATGGCATTTGATCAAGTACAATAGACAACACTGTGTCGGAGTGGCCTACTGGTGATTCAATGCTGCCAAAAGAAAAAAAGAGAGAGAAAAACACATGTGGGAGAGAAAGAAAGAACTCCGAATGGGAGTAAATCTATTTTCAAGTTTCAAGTATACACACTCCAACAACAATCAACTTTGTAATGTGGACAAAAAAATAACTAAATAAATAAACAGTGTGTATTAACTGAAATATGCACAGCTAATGATGCAAAATAAATAAATAAAAAAGCAACTCACAAGAGGAGAGAGTTCAGAATACAAAAACAGCATTTGTGTTTACAAATGTGAAAACCGGTTGAGTGAAAGGCATTTTACACCTCATACCCATCAGTTGTGAATGTATTCCCAAGCAACATTCAGATAAAGATAAGAGTCATTGTGCATCTGCTGCAAACCAGAAACAGATGATGGAGGGCAGAGCCTGAAAGTACAGTTAATTACAAAAATGGTGTTGAGTTTGCATGACAGAAAATGTCAAAAACAAACCTGTTTCAATGTCAGAGCATCATTAGTTATGTAAGGGATAATGTACAGTCAGCCTGTCATTATAACAAACTAACTCTGCAGGGTGATCTCTAGACCCCGACATGAAGCCGAACTTCTTGCATCACCCTAAAGAGATTCATTGTCTGAAAGTGCAGTTAATTACATTGATGCTTACCAAATAAATGGACATCAAATATTGATTTTAATATTGTTTTGAGATTGAGACATTGGGATAGAAGTGTCTGTGTTCAGTCAAAACATCTAGATTTAATTGAGAATCTAGATTTAATCAACTATTTTGCCACTGATTTGCAATGAGATTAAATAGCATTCAAAAGTACATTGCATTTATTTGATCAAAATCACAGTAAAACAGTGATATTGTGAAAAAATATTACAATTTAAAATAACCCATTTCTATTTTTATGTATTTCAAAACATAACTTTTTCCTGTGATGCAAATCTGAATTTTCAGCATCATTACTCCAGTCTTCAGTGTCACATGATCCTTCAGAAATAATTTTAATATTCTTAATATTTGTATTTATTTATTTTATTATTATTATTTTTTTTTTTTTTCATTTTCAATGTTGAAAACACATACACATATTTACATAGTTTGCTAAATAGAACACATTTGCTGAATTTATCAGGATTCTGACTGTGTAATTGGTCTTCCATTATTTGATAATTGCACAACCCTACATTAGCTCAATCCAAAAGAAAAAAAAAAAAAAAAAACTTTCCCCTCGAAAACCCTGTTGACACTGGAGTTAATGAGTATACTTGTGGGATGTCTTCGATTAATTAATTCACTCAATAATTGCATCTCAGCTAAACCCAGCATGAATGAGGAATTATAAATAACGCCCAACATTGGAACCTTCAAGGGAAGTTCTTCATGCTCTCATTATTAACAAAGCACATGTTCACAGAGAGGTGATGATTCAGACCTGGTGAATATTTCCTGCAGGTTGACTGTTACGCTTCATTCACTTTGATGTCCCATTGAGGGCTTTACACATTTGCTGTGAAACTGGTGTTAAACATAAATATTCTCATATTTCTTTGTCAAACCAAACTGAACACCTAGCAGATGATTAAAGGTGATATTTACCCTTCATCTCTTAAACTCTGCTTTTTCCCCCTCCAAAGGCAGCCAGCACAAGTGCACAGAGAAGTGCAAACATCCACACACAGCCAATATTCTGAATCAATAATGGAGATTTAATTAAAGTGCTATAGAGTGCAGGCCTCACCTCTGCAGCATTGTGTTATCCCACAGGAAGTGCTCACACTTAAATGCACACACCTACATACAGACTTATATTGGGTGTGAATAGGACTTCATTTACAGGTTTACATTATTTGCTTTTACTTCATTTGCGTTTACATTACACTTGTGCATACTGGATTTACATTTTCATATATATTAAATGGAAACCAGTTATTATATATATATATATATATATATATATATATATATATATATATATATATATATATATATATATATATATATGTTTTTTTTT